AAACTCACACATAATCAATGATAATTATCCTAACACATTGTTAAGATGCAGAAAATTAATGGTTTTTTATAGATGTTTTACCTTGAAACCAGCAGTATTAAGTAGAAGACTAATCCAGGATCCCAAACCTTAAAACCTCCTTGATGCATTAAATCTGTCTGTTCACTCAATTTAAAACAACAGACGAACAAACATGAGAACTATACCTGTTCTATTGGCAGAGTCACTGAATGTTTCCCTTAGAGGCAACAGTGGGATGTGTAAAGCACTTTTATCAGTGTTTGGAGGTTGGTGGAAAAATAATCCTTAAAAAAAAGGTAATTTGTTGATATGTTGCGAAAACATGTATATTTTCAACAATTGAAATAAAAAGAGACATTTCCTGTATAGTAACCACACCAAAAAAAAAGGTTACCAAGGCAATGTTAATCAAAGTGGCTCACCTTGGCTCTGTTAATGGTGCAGTGCAGTGCATTGTTCTCCTGGTCGTACTGCAAACTAAACTCCAAGGTTCCCAGCGTGGCTGTGAAGACAGGAAAAGACGAGAAGGAATTACACTAAATTAGATGCAAAGAGAAAAGCCTTCATGGCACACAGACATGGCCTCTCGGGAGAGCATTAACCACTCTCCGCTGCCCGGTTTGGATCATTTGAGGGGAAAGCCCTGATGGGAGCTCTCATGATGCTTTTAATCACTGAAATGTATTCACACTGGATTGAAAAAGTCTTCATACCCTTCACTCTTCTGCATATCTCTCACTGTTGCAAACTTCTGTTTATTAAATATGTGATACAAATGATTTTACCTGTTTAATTTAATTTAATCTGAGTATAAATGCAGCTGTTCTGTTTGTTAGAGATCATTAAACAGCAAACAGCATCAGCAGACGGCTAAAGGTGGACGTAGAGCAGTTAAAATAATGGCTGCCGGGCAAAAACCCTCTGTTGATTTCACACTCTGTTATAAATATATATGGGCTGTAAACAACTTTTTGTTTGTATGAATTTGTGGTGCTTGCAGATACCAACACCTCCCACATGTATTACCTCCTTAAAAAACTAAACCATGTTATGTTGGATGAATCAGCCCTTAAACGTTGTTTCACATTGAGTAGACAAAGGAGTTTAACAAGGTAGCAAAACTTCATGTTCAAGTATTAAATTAATCCATTTTGAACCGTCGTTGGAATCAAATTCCTCCAGAGTTTAAACTGAGTTACAGAGATGTAGCTGGTGAGCGTCCAAAAGTTTAAATTTAAGCCTTCATTTGTGATTAAAGTGCTCCTGAGTCTACTAAAACCCAGGGAATCGATGTTGTTCCTGGAAACGCTGAGCTCACCACCTACACAAGAAGAACCACAAACACACGTCCGTTTACTCGTTTTGTTCTCTGAAAGACAAAAGGCATTTAATAAAGTCTTCTGCTCACAGAGTGTGCAAATAATGTTTTATAAGTGCCAAATTCAACCATGACCAAGATGAAATCTTCCATCTGATTTTACGCTGTGCTATTCAGATGGTAGGGATGTGGAGGGGTGGAAAAAAAGGAATCCCTTTCTGACAAAATAATTCAGGTGACAATTGTCTGACTAAATGGGGCCACTCATTGAATTTAGACTTATTTATACCTAAAACTAATACGCTTGCAGTGATTTAATTAATTTAGCGTGAATGGTGTAAAGTGACGTCACTGCCGGAAGATGTCAGGAGGGATGTGTTAATATATCTGGTATTGATGTCATGAGATGAGCCGAGGCTTCGAGGCGTGTGTCGAGTAATGGAGGGGGGCGTTTCCCCGAAGCGCGTGTCGAGGCGTGATTCATTTAGGGGAGGGGCCAAAATTGATGACGTCCGAGGCCTCGCTACCGTGAAACCATGTGACCGCTTCAGCTTCAGTGTTCAGTCAAGATATGGAAGTTTGGAGGAGAGCTGCTGTCAGCTGGATAGAGTTTGGATAGATTCTAAGAATAGATTGGTTGTTTTACCAACCGATCTATTTGGTTAAAACTAATTTGGTTAGAATAAACAATGTTATGATCAAAATCTAAGGAAACCACTGGAAAAAGTCAGTGTTAACACGTCGCTATTAATTAGTATTTTCCTCCCTGATACGGTTATTTATATAGGTGGCGTCATCTGTAAGAGACAGGCTCTCACTCTAGAGGTTGATGGTTCAAGACGTGTCTTTGACTTTTGAAAGTTGCGATTAAACTTAATTATTTTGGCTGATGAGACTAGTTTGCATTGTTTTGCAACGAGTAAAAATATAGATCGGGTAAATTAGGTCGGTTTAGCCAAAAGATTGGTTGAACAGAACTTCCAACCTGATTAAAACCAAAAAACTTTGAAAAACTATCATGTTTGAATAAAAATGACTAACACCTTTCATTTTCAAATGGCAGAAAAACTGTGCACTTTGAATGATGGTTCTAAGAAAAAAATACAAAAGATTTTATTATACACACCAACCATTAATAATTTCAAGGGAACCTAAAAGGGGAAAAAAAAAACAGTTGTGAAAAAAAAAAATAATCACAGATTTTATTACAAACTGTACTTCTGCCCTCCACCAGTAGGTGGTGACATGTTCACATGAAGCCTCATGAACTGTGGGGATCGTTGAAGCAATTTGGCCAAACGGTTCAATGCCTCATGAGGCTTCATCTCACCGTCACTAATATCTGGGGAAAAATGGCCGCTCCCAGACTCGGTGATCCCAACGAAAATTATCATTTTTATTTCTTTACTGATTAACGCTAAATTCATAAAATCACTGTCAATGTATTAGTTTTAGGTATAGATAATGATGCAATGATTATTCATTGCTGACTGGACTTATCCTTTCAGAAAGGCCATAATGGGTTTAGAAGCTGTAACTTTCTTCACCGTTAGTAGTGGAAAATATGGAGGACCAACTCTGCCATATTTAAAAAGAAATACATAAATAAAAAAATGCTCAATAAATAAATAAGCATACAATTAATTGCCACCAAAAAAAAAACTTTTTAGCGCACGTGGTACACTTAATTATAAAAAAAAATACACACACATAATAATAATAACCATCATGACAATAATAATGATAATAATATAATAATAATAATAGCTTAAACAAATAAGCCACATTAGTTTAAATAATGGGCTATTAGGGCAACATGACCGGAAGTCTTTTCACGTGGATATGACTTATGGTAGCCTACAAAATAATAGCTATTTTAATACCTGCTGATTTTGTACAAACCACTTAAAAATAAAATGCGAACAGCTTTTAAGGTTTTTCAATACGATTAACCCTCATTTCTTGGTATTGTGCTGCAATTACTAAATCAATATACAATTAAGACAATAAAGAGACCAAAATGTGTTAATTTATGTTGCCTAACAAAACCTATACAACAGAAAACGTTTGTCTTAACACATAGATTTGCAATTGCAAACTTTACCGAAATTATTTGTAGCCTATGTGGTTGTCCTCATGTTATCTGTCATTGACTTGGGCTACAGTGTAAAACTTTATCTAGTTTAACTAGTTTATCAGGTGACCAGTCTGTAAAAATGTGTGTTTGGTGCTGCTGAATGAGACATTTTAATGCACAACAAAATGATTT